GTTGGCAGCCGAGGGCGATGTTACCTGCATGGAACGTATCTGAAACGAAAAGCCTAGTGTATTCTCGTTTTTCTGCCCTCTGGGCTTGACAAAGTAACAATGAAGCAGTATTACAGCTGGTAAAGTTCATGTACCTCGGGGTCAGGTTTACTGGTGATGGAAAAATTGAGGAAGAAATCGACCGGCGAATTAGAATAGCTAGCGGCGTTCTGCATGAACAGCTCGAACCACTGAACGGAGCTGAGTCTGAAGGTTATGCCATCTGGAATGAGGCAGATTTTCGTTTCGAAACTCAACTACGATTATGCGTCATGGGCCATAAATGAAAAGCTTCGATCCAGGGTAAAAACGGCCGAAATGGGCTTTAAGACGAGTCACTCGCTTCTCGTCATGGTCCGCAACACACCCTGCTGCTTCTCCAGATTGAGAATTGATTTGGAATGAAGGTGCGACAGGAGTTACTCCCCGCGCGTAGAATGAAACCCTGACGTGAAAATGCTACCCTTGCCCTCTGAAACTGATTCTGTTACACTGGCGAGGCTATTTTGCACTGGTTCAAATCCATTTATTTCTTGCTGCAAGTGTTATTATACTGTTTCCATCATTAGGTGATAAAAATGAATTTCTTTTCAAACAACCGTCATTATCAAAGTAGAAGTTTTCTACACAGAGAAACGTCAAAAGTCATGAATTTAAAATTGGATATATTTTAGCGATAGTAATGTTTTTGCAGATATTCTGCACAGCTGAGACGACGATCATTAATAATGCGGGCAAGAAAGTTGACGTAGTCAGTCATGTGCATTCGTTGATGACGAAAAGTGCCTGCAACTAATGGGGCATCGTCACTAAAAGCCAATTCCATTTATTCACGTAGGTAAATTGTCGTGAAATGTGGCTCAGCGTTGTTATGTTCATGATGCTGACTGGCACCGCGACGGAACGCACAATTGGTGATTATTTGGAAGGTACAGAAATGTGTACGAGATTCTGTGAACACTTCAGGTGGTAATTTACTAGGAGGAGGTGGAAGCGTGATGGATCGAAGCCAAAGCGTGAACATAAGAGTGCCTGCCGGTCACTTTGTGAGCATCCAACAACCATCGTGCTATCCAAACTGTCAACGATCGTTCATGGTGGTAAATCCTCCATGCTCCCCCAACTGTGCGCAGGTACCAGTTTTGGTGCCGAGTGTTAACGCTGAACACAGCGCCGTTATTGCCATCAGCGGCTAAAGGTGATAGGACTTCCAGACTATTAATTAAAACTGAAACATCGACATATTGCAGATTTGTTTCGTCATTGTATTCAGTGGCAGCGCCTACTTTTTAACAACGTTCTAAAACACGTGAACTGAATTACAAATAAACTGCTTCTTCAAATCTTATGGCACGGTAGTCATTCACAACTACGCAGTGATGGCATTTGATGAACTACATTCTCTTCATCACTTCTGAGTGTCAGTTTTAAGATATAGCTCCAAAACATTACAGACTTTATGACAATGTTATTTATACAATTCTAAACGTAGCAGCACAGAAAGCTCAAAAGACAAACAATAGCTGGCAGAACAGTCGCATCGTACAATAAAGGGTGGATATTAATCCACGAAAGTCCCGTTGTAAGTCCCGTTGTCCACGGGCACGAAAGTCCCGTTGTAAGCGAGAAACGATTTTCAAGGTGTCCAACTATGTTATTTTCTGATTTTAAATACGCATGCGATATTGTCTTGCTGAATGGCGTAATAACTGGCTATGTATGTGACTGTCGGCGCCTAAAATTGTACCGAAAAGGTATGGCCTTCGTAATCACTGGAGTAAAAGGGTTTGAGATAACCGTTTAGCACAGCAAAATGGAGAAATGAAAAAATTGTAGATAGGCTAATTTAAACACTATGATTCAATTATCCCGGCTTTCGCCATTGCAACAAAGAGTAAGAAATACATACTCCTAAGAACTTTTCCACGCCATGCGATCCTGTACTTTGTAATGGGTAAGCCTTTTGTGGCTTTTGGAGAGTAAAAACATTGAAACGTAATTTTATAATTAATTGACATAGTCAGTGACACAGTAAATTGTATCGAATACAGTTATCAATGCTATTTTCATTTTACCATTTTCCAAAATTGCCACTGGCGTCCCTATCGCAAACTACGGAATCACATGACATGTAAAATTACCGTGGGGTATAGATTCCCTACTCGTTGTTGCAGTGGCGAAGGCCTGTTGTAAGCCCTGAAACGGTTGACACGGGAATACCTGTTGCCAGGGTTCACAGAACCCTAAATGCATTTTTAGGCAGTTGCCTCTAAGAGAAGAATGCATTCTCCTGTACACTCTAGAAAAAAGGAATGGAAACCATTGTCTGTGTTAATTCCTGATAAATTGCGCACATGATATCAGATACACAACTTACAATTTATTCACTGGATGGAAAATTTCTTAGGCTAACTTATGAATACATATCACTACGCGCTGTCCATCTAGCACTCAATTATTTATAAATAAAGAGTTTATTGAAAACGCTTTTGGGTTGATAGGTGCTAGTGTATCATGAAGAGCATGTATTTTGCCAAAAACGTAGCCTTAAGTTTGCGTACTATTGCGTACTAACGTGCCTTTGTTCGCTAAAGTTCACAGATGGGCTTATTCATCTTCTGCAAGTAGTCAGATTCTACGCGCGTTACTAAAGAAGAAATTCCAGGGAAATTTGAGCAACGAGTTTGTTTCTGCTTCATGTATTACACAAAGACTATATAATGTCAGCCATGCCAAACATTAGGATCCTTTTCTGAAAATAGGACTTCCCCTGTGGTCTGACTGTTTCAAGAACTCAACAGAGAACGACTAGTTGAGCAGTAACAATCCAAAGTAAGAGCCCTCAACTTGTTAAAGAACTCGGCTACATTTAAAAGATCACGGGTACGACTCAACGACATATCGATTCAAAATTCCATCGATTTCAGACAGAAACTAAGATGAAAGAACATCCAGAAAAACGAAGTCATGTTGATCTTTGTTACTGCGTCTCTTTTCACAAGTGTTCTGGTTCAACAAGTCGTGAAAGCAGCGAAGAAACAACTTAACTTGGAAAAATGTTGGAAAAATATGCTTGGTGCCATCGACGACCATGAATCGCCAAACAATCTACAATATTAAACCCATTTTGTCAACTCGTCATCCAGTCAGCGTTGAAAACCTTCAATCGAAGTTACGGAATAAGAGGAACGTAGAGATAATCGATAAGCAAATGACGAGTGATGATCGCAACATCTTGACTGCAGAAATAAGGCACAATCTGAGCGGTCGGTCGCTCTTCTTGCATCTACCTTTACAACAGCTACTTGGAAAACCTAATGAGCGCCTTCGGTTACTGCTGTGTATCACTACCCTGTGTTGCACAATGTAGGTATAAGTGTAAGTAGCTTCGCTGTCACTGTAATCCACTCGACCGATGTCACGAAAACGCTGAAAACTGAGTCCAGAAAAAGAAACTACTGAGAAATGTGACTGATTCAATCCACGATGCCGGCAAATCGAGATATCGCGGGTCAAAACCACGAAGAGCCGACTGTCAGGTGCGTGCCGAATAGACACTGTCATGCTCTATGTTTGTCTGTTTGTGGCATCGAGTAATTGCAGATCCGTCATAAATAAAATTGACATCATAAGAGCGCTTTACGCAACATATCCTTTCGCAAATACATGTGCGCTTTTGCTTCAAGAAACCCGGATTAACTGAAAATGCCCCCGGTCATTCTGGATTAGTTCAGCCTATTTAGAACTGTAAAGCGAAAAACATCGTCGCTACATGGATCACGAGACAATGTTGTTCAAAACCAGCGCAGGTCTTGGCCTTTGCTAAAGGCGATATCCAATGCCATATAATAGAATGCCTTCCAGAATTCTTGTCACCGTTAGAAAACTTTATCTGGCTAACTGCTATATATTGCCAGGATTCCTCGATTTGAGTCTTCATCTAATTTGCTGCTGACTTTAGGTCCCGGAGCGGTAGGTTCAGTGAAGATAGCCTTCTTATAGCCGATGGTGGTTTTAACAGGAGAAACCGTCAATTCTTGCATTTGATTAGTCTAACTGCCGTCGTAAACTTCAGCAATCGCTTCAGTGCTCCTCAAGACCAGATCTTCACCAATGCAGCGGCTTAATATATTGCCAAACGTTTTGTTTCATTAACGGACTCTGATCACTGCATCATTCAGCTGATCAAATTTTCGAACAAGCTTAGCAGTACTTAAAGTATTTAAAAGTACTTCACAAACTGCACCACGTCAACAGCAGTGAAACCTGTCCTTTAAGCGCCATACAACATATGAAACCTACATCTACCAACTTCACTATATCCTGCAGAGTACAGACTGCGCAGCCGTCCAGAAACCTTTTCGTCAGAAAACTTTGGCGAACATATAAAAGTTGTCACAACCTACTTCAAATTCGTCTAGGATATCTGCTTTTCTGTCGGAAAGATATTCGTTAGACGGCGATGTTGTGCATAAAGCGCTGAGGAGCCTGCGAAGTTGCAGAGATGAAGCTTATAAAGCCAAGGACTACTTTTAACTGCAAGGAAATCAAGAAAAGCATAAAAGCGGAAGATATCCGGATTAAATATATGCTACTGTGACTATTTACTCAAGACGCAAAGACTTCTGGAAAAATATCCGTACCCTCACCAGCTGCAATAATGGCAACAAAAATGCACCATAGACACAGAAGAATTAAACAACAACTTTCTGGCAGCAGAACTACCTGTTAGCAAAGCACCGCGAAGGCTCGATTTATCTGCCTGCAATAACAGTTCCGAGTTATCAATTTGTACGCTTAACAGACGCTGAAGTACGCAACTGTTTTTTGGGATTACGGAGCTGTGTAGAGGCTAGATATGATGAAATGGATGTGCTCATTCTCAAAGAATTTGCGAACGAATTATGCTACCTGTTTGCCGGCATCTTTAATCATGGCATCAAGTTAGGAAATAGGTGGAAATCGCAGCAATCACTCCTGTACCCAAGAAACCTAAATCTGTCGCAGCAAAAGATTTCCGTTCAGTTGCTGTAATACTAGTCCCTTCCAAATGCACACAACATTAAACCAAGACGGAAGCAGCTTCGCTAGTTGACCCTTGCCAGTTCGTTTACAAAGAGCACAGAGACTGCGTTGATGGCTGAGCACTTGACAAATGCTGTTGCTGAAGGTTTTGAAGGTTGCGCAGCTCATGGCCTATTTCTGGACCACTGCAATGCATTTAACATCGTGCGCCGCGATGTGCTTTGACCATTCTTTGTCCTCTCGAAACTGACCTCAGCACCTTGCGCTGGCTAACCAACTATGTCTTTGACCGCACTTAGTTCGTGCAGGTCAGTCGACGCAATGTTTCTATTCTACAGAACAAATGAGGAATTCTGCAGGGATAGGTCTTATCCCTACTTCTCTTCGAGGTATACACAAATGCAAAGTCAATAGCCAAACAAAAACATGGAATATGCCGAGGTTACCCTAATACAAATGAGTTTTCTTCAATAGGTGATCTCTAAAAGCATTCTTACGGAGTCACTTTTTTTCAGGACTGGTCAGTGGAAAATCGCTCATTCACTAACTATGGCAAAGCCAACGAATGTCTCTTTCGGCTCAATTAATGTCCCAGCAATATTTAAACCAACTGCCTCGCCTCTATTTCGCTAGAAATTCAGAAAATGGCTAGGGTTATCATCGCAAGCTCTCTGGTGTACCATCGCCAAAGATATAACTTCAATTGCACATGTAGAAAAAATATTCATGAAAGTACCACATTGCAGCTATTTTCTGAAACGCATAGCCTCATTACAACCATCCGCCCAAAAGCATCTGTTTCAGAACTGTTTCAAAATTCCCGTAAAGTTTCATTAATCACACTTCTTCTCCCTACCCTATGAGAACTTAGATCTGCTCTGAAAACTGTCTGCAGAGTAGGTCGGCTGTCCTACATGAACGTCATAAACGTCGTCATCTAATGTTTAGCTCGGTAGATAAATTTTAATCAATTCTCTCTCTCCCCTCAACCTGGCTGTTTTAAAGTGCATCTCAAGGCTCTAATTTGTCTACATTTATACTAGAGCTGAAGTTAACAAAAAATCTGTGACCAGATGGCTAGGACTCTGTAGAACGATGAACGGGAGATGCAGAAAACGTCCGCATCAATCCTATCAGGTTAATCTATACAGTTAGATACTCATCTGCATTATATTTCATTATTTCATTTCATTTTCCCTTCTTCATGTCTTATTGCTGTACATTTTGACTGATCTTGTAGGCCATGTGAATATTGTTACACCAAGAGTCAATGACTACTGAAATGCTAAACGGTGCTAGTTTTACGGGCTAATTTAACTAATTTAGTTATTTTTATTTTATTTGTTTGATCTTCAGGAGAGTTGTGAAAACTGACGAAAATGAGCAAATCCTGAGCAAAAAGATTTTAAGTTCAACTTAATGAAGCCTAAAGTAGTGACACTCTCTGATGGCTACAGGTCACAGTAAATTCCGGTGATCAGTGTTGATTATAGACTGCAGAAGTTGCGAGGAAAACCTCATAAGAATGTGTAAGTGACTCAGCGTAAAAACTATACAAATGTGGGACTTGCATAACGTTTGATTTAGTAGGTTGCAAGCCATAAATGCGACCATTAAACCAGTACGGATTTAGACTGTGTGGATGTGATGGCATAGCCCATTGTTGCGAATTTCTTGGAGGAACTATAAATTAATCTTTGGGTGTCTGAAGGCTACTTGCTAGCTGCTTGATATTCGATTTACCTTTGAAAACAAGAGTGTACTTTTACGACATCGTGAGGAGAAATGATACCATGTGACGATACTGATGTTACACGGCTTGATTATAGTATCACAAAAGACAAGACGGTGTAGAATAGCAACATCTGTGGACACAGTTGAATAACACCGATGTCACAGGAATTTCGCAAGGCAGATGGGTGCGTCAGGCGGTAATGCATCATATCATCTTCTGGTTTAACTAAGAATGAAAACTAGTGATGGCGAAATGATCTCGAAGCAGCCTATACTTTGATGATCAATGACCCTCTCTGAAAGCAAATCTTGCAAACACCTTTATCCTTAGTCACTTGTTTGCAAGCCAGCGACTTTCTGCCCTCTTATCTGTGCACGCATCAAAGCATAGCTGAATGAATCTTTCACAAAAAATTACCTCCTAACTTCAACTTATTTTTAAGGCTTTAACTCGATCTCACCGCAGCACCTTAACAGATTAGAAAAAATCTTTTGGGTCATAAATTTTCATTAGACTGATAATAAAGAGCGACGTGGACGAACCCTAAAGAGACAAGAATTATAATCTTGAATACAGTGAAAGGTACAGCAACGTTTGCTCGTGTTGTCTGTTACTGTGGCCGTCGCAGATTAAGGTACACCTGATTTCAACATCTGGTTTTTCTCGATTAATGGTGTAATCTAGTAGGGGTCTTGTCGCCGCTTCGCTGATTCATTTAAAGTGCCTCTAAAGATGCCATGATTCGTCTCCAAGTCAAAACTTGCAGTTCGAGCAATTAGCATAAATCATAGCGTTTTTCGTAGAGGAGCAGTTATGAAAACATGGGATACTCATAGGTTGCGATAAATTTACTTTCAGAAACCATAGTTTGCAACTATGAGGCCTGCGTAGAATTAAAATTCATATAATGGTTTGATGTAATATTTTCTAATTTCTTTGAGTGAAGAACACCATTTTTTCTCATTATCTGACTGATCTGACCTGCGAAATCATCGTATCTGCAATGGATATTATTCTTACTCTCTGCCTATTTTGCATTCGATCAAATTTATCAATGCTCTGAAATTTATTGAAACGTTTTCCTGAGCATTGAAGGTTGGTAGTGAAGTATTTCCTTTCAGCCGGATGAAATTTTTTTCTGACATAGGTCTCTGATCTGATTGTCCTCTGATTAAACCACTGCAGTTAATCTGCATCTTCTTCATGGATGTCAGCATCATTTGCGTTATGCCAAAAATTGCAAATAAATGCGGCACCATGTGTTTAACTGCAGCAGTTTCAAGAAACCGTACTTAAGGCCCTTTGTTCTGCTTGATTCATTCGGTAAAACGTTGTACACGTTGCTCCCTTCGGCCTTCAGTTTGGCTTATCTTGCCAGTGGTTACCTTGCCGAAGGCTAACGCATTGATTTCTTGTCGACTACTCCGCCCGGATTGATGTCCCTGTGGCAATGTTGATTGCATCGATAAAATAGTCATAATCCGCATATATGGCTTCGTTAATATTTACTTCAAGGTTCATAGATGGCAGCTTCTTCGCGAAAAACTGTGGACCGAATCGCAGTCCTACACAAAGCGATTTTCTTTGGACTTTCCATCCGTTCCTCTCTCACGAAATCGATCATAACTGAGGAACGCAAATACCCATGATCGGACACGATAACTAGTTCTGACCTATGACCGACACGATAAAATGATATTCATGACCCAAAGAGACATTTTTCTCTTTCATGAAAGCCAAAATTGATAAAAAAAACTTCATTCTTTCTTTCTGATGTATTTCTGTTGAACGGGTCGAGTGAAGCATGTGAACCGAACACAAACTGCGCCGTTAAAATATTTGATCAATTAAAAAGGGTGTGCGGCATTTGTTGGCGCATCACATAATCTGCACAATATACCGCAAACTTATGACTGAGGTGTGGGTCAACCAACAAATTCCGCAGATTCCTCACTGATCTCTGCCGATTTGGTCCATCTTTCTTGGCTTCGCTCGAGAGTGCATTAATTTTTATTATACTTAGTGTAGGTACATGTTGTACTGCTCATCGTATCGAAAAGTCAACCACCGGATGAGCGAATTACAGCTCTAAGTGAGGCTTGCATCAAAATAGCATCGTCATATCTGTCGCCCATTATGACATGGCTCACCAGAACACAATTTTGTCCCAGCTGGTTGCAAGTCTAAGGCTTCCTAACCGCCTTTCAGCTGGTTGCATCAAAGCAACGGGCGGTCAATTTCTTACCCAAAGGAGTTAGTTGTTAGTAGAAATAGTTTTTTTTCTTTTTGATATTCAAATGCTGTGCTTCAGGTCGAAGCCGACAATTTTCCAGCGTTGCCACGTGTTACCCCCATAGTCTGAGTTTAACATCCCACAACAGATATACATCGCCCAAAAATTTTACTCTTTAATGTAAGTGCAGTTTCGTGTTCAAATTTAGTTTCAGTTTCAAGCAATTTAGTCCATTTAGCTGATTTTGCCCATCTGCTGTTCCGCATAAGATGAATTGACCCAAAAATGCCTAAAGTGACCGCTGATTTTCATATTGTTGACTACGGTTTCTAGACTGATGTGCTCAGGTCATGAACTGTTGTATGAAATAACCGTTGAACAGAACTTCTTTTTCTGGAAAGTGGTCTTCAAGAGCGAGAAAAAATGGCCATACTAGACAATTTATGCAGCCCAGCCTATTATTCGCTAACTAACATGGCCATTTTATTAAAGCGCAATCACTTCATAACGAAACTTGGACAACTCAGTTTTAACCGAGTGAACAATTATTCTCACGTGATAAGGATGTCATGCTCGTGACTAAGTGAGAAATTTTGTTCTAATTCAATTGTGCGTGCATGATCATCAGTTGAAAATCAGTTATTCTTTCAAGTTAAAATTCATTACTCTCATTTACTAAGCTTGAGCACAACATGCAAGCGGAATCTAAAGTGCCAGAAAGACCGTTATAATTTTCAATTTAGCTCCAATTAATAATGCAAGCTGAAAAAGTTAGCATGAACGGCGTCAAAACAGCTTACTGCAACCCAAAATCTCTTAACTCACATAATATCAACATATCACATTATCTGTCTTGCATATCGTCACATTCGTGGAGTCTACCGTAACTTACAATAACTTGAAAGTTATATATATGTGCAATGTATGTTGCGTTGCAAGTATAGCGAAAAACCATCAGAATTTCACATGAGCTGCGCAACTGCACTCACTCATGAAAATGTATCATTCCAAGATATTTGTTAAAAGGCAGCATGTTAACGGCAGCACTCATAAGTACCGCTGAACTTTAACCGGTTAGACTGTCTACAGATCAACAGATAAGACGAGAAATGGCTGAGCAACAGCAAACAGCTGTTTGGAAAATCAGCTCAGACAGATAGATGTGTTTCGAGGTCTTTCAAGTTGTAGAGGACTCAAAGTTATAAAATTTCGAATCATCAACTCAGCGCGTGACAATTTCCTCGTCACCAGAAATAAACAGAAGAAATCTCATTGAACGCAGATTATACTACCTAACACTTCTTGTCAGCCGATGGAAACTAGCTAAAGACCAACTCTCTTTTGAACAATGCGGAATCAGGTGCAGCGAAGCTGATCCTCAAGCATCACTTTTATTTTTTTCTGAAGGAGTCAGTTTTACAGTCACAAAAATTAATTCTAACAGTTGCCAGAGTTTCTGTGTGCCATTTGTTCGCAATACAAAAACACTGCTGACATCTGTGTCTCGTGGTAGAATTAACGAGCACCGCTGGTGTGTATGTGTGGTCAAACACAAATTGCTGCATCGATCGTATATGACAGAAATTTGCTAATTTTTCTGCCTCGTGAAACTTCTTAAAACTGGCAGCATTTACGATCGCTCTCATTGTTTAGTCATTGAACTCTCCGAAGATGATGCTTTCAGTGGCTGCTCTGACGTTGCTGGTGTGCTTCGCTCATGGAAGAACCATTGGGGATACAATTGAAGGTAGGAATACGTTAGTAGTATTCAGCAGAATTCTAGCGAATGCGTTCTGCAGGTGGCACCAACGACGTCATGGATGAAAGCCAGTCTATTAACATTAACGTTGAGCCTGGAGGCGGTTTAGTCAACGCATATGGACCACCGTGCACTACTTGCGGTGGTCAAGTGGTGCCAATCGGTCAGAGGCCGCTTCAACCAATGCGACCGCAATGCTACCCGAACTGTGGAGGCCCTGGGCCGGTTGTAATTCCTGGAGGAGGCCCTAGACCGGTAATACCTGGAGGTGGTCCTGGGCCGGTAGTAATTCCTGGAGGAGGCCCTAGACCGGTAATACCAGGAGGAGGCCCCGGACCAGTAATACCTAACAGGAACATGCGTCCTTCGTGCTATCCGAATTGCAATATGCCTCAGCGTCAGCCATGTTATCCTAACTGTGGAGGCGGCGGATCAGTCATTGCGATTAGTCAATGATTGGAAGTTAAATTTAATAGACTTCACAAAGTGAGCGTTGGTAAATCTGAACATTTATAGCGGAAAAACTGTTTGAAAACCAAAATGGGCACAAGTGTACTCTGTTTTACATAAATTAAACGATATAGAATTGACAATGATGAAATACTTAAAGTGAAGATGTGTAATTGCGGTGGTTATTATTTTGTTTCATTGATGAATCGTGCATTAATAAATGTTTCCCATTTGTTTTGAACGATATCACGCCGTAGCTTGTACGTTTTACACCGCTTTATTACTCCGCTTGCAGATTATTAAAACAAAGTAAATCAGTTCAGTCAATTGAATCAATTCAATAGTTTAGTGCACAAGCTCACAAACTCACAACGGGAAACCATATCCTCCCTAATGTGCAGTGTCAGAGAAAGCGGCACCTGAGCCTCTTGAAGTCATCTTCAACTTGCTGTTTTGGATTTTCAGAACTGTAGATTTACAATACTTGTGGACGCCTCCACGAGCTAATGTAGGCGTGCTCTTGCATTGTACCAGAAGCAAGAAATGCTTTGTCCAAATTCGGCTAATAAACTCATCAGTCTGAGTAAACTGAGTGCAAAACATTGGCTACAAACAATGATCAGAATCTTGGGGACACCTCATCTCTTCACGGCATCTGATGAGCCATAAGTCACTCCAGCTCTAGGCAAATGCCATCACATTCTTACTTCAGTGACCGTCCTCTATTAGTTAGAAAATTTTTCTATCAAAGGAACTGTCTCGGTTGCATCCAGATCATCAATAGCTCTCAGAAACACACATTGCACAAAATGTGCCGTATTTTATGCATTAAATATACCTTCCGTCGTTCCTTAAACTTTGCACTACAAGCTCAACGGTCCCGCACTGGTCGCTCCAGAGTTAGCAGAAACGTCATTTTCTCTCATAAAGATACGATTTACAAATCATCGAAGACTCTTCCAGTCTTTAATTAACGGTTTCACTATTCAATCATTTCAGGATTAGTAACAAAATATGCGCTAACTCAACACAATGATTGAAAAGCATGTCTTACCTGTTCAAATATACAGAACGTAAACTTCTGAGTTCTAGTCGCATATCCGTTCATCTTAAGTCCCAACCTCTATTACGGTACATAATGACATACAGAGAAAAACAATCTTTCAGTTTTCCATGATAACAAATTAAACTACTTAGGTCCAACATTAAATCTACTCATTGCCCTCTGCCAGCCGGGGGCGTGGCAGCACAACGACGGCTGACGAAGACCGACGCAACGAC